AATATTATTTCTCAGTTAATCTCACCTGAATATATTTCATTGTTATATGGCATAGTAGAAGAAATAAGTAAGAAAAGGCACAGAACAGCCCAGTCTATGCTATTCCTTAAGTAGCTATGTTCAGGCACAGAATAGCCCGTGTATGCTATTCCTTAAGTGGCTATGTTCATTCTGTGATCTCCTCACTTTCCCTGCTGCAGCAGGGAAAAGCGCTTCTCCATTGGGGCTGGCTGTGTGGTGAAAACCCACTTATCCTGCTGTCCCAGAGCTGCATTGTGGGTTTGGGGAAGCAGGGAGATCATGTTGCCCCTTGTCCTGTGCTCCTGAGGGCAAGACAGGGGGTGATGTGTTCACCCATCAAAGCAGATCAGCTGTGCCATGATACATTGCTGCAAAGCTGGTCCATTACATTTGGCAACATGTATTTGTAGCCTAAAGTAGCTGTGTTGGCTCATTTTGGAACTTAGTGCACCTGGTATGAGGCTGAATGTACTTGATGGCAGCACTCCTTGGCAGAGCATGAGAAAATATGGACAAGGCCCAAGTAGCAGCATGGTTAAGTGGAAGATATTTGCATATATGTGGATCTATCCCCAACTCTGTCAAAAGTGACCTTAGAAGACTTTTCTAGTTCTTAGTTAACTCACTTTTAAATGAAGGAGAACTATAGGGGTCCTACCTTTTGAAATAGAAATATGAGCCTTTCCTCATCAATATGAGTTTTAGGTGTAGGTCTGAAGACAGTCCAGGGAAGGACTTATTGTCTAGCTGTCACAACAATACATTTTTAAGGGTATTTCAGGGGGAGCACCTTTTCTTTTCTGTAAACCTTCATAATAGTTTGGAAACCATTCATAGGACTTGCTGTGGGTTAGGAATATTCTCAGTGCAAATGGGATATTCGAAAGACTATTAATGGAGAAAGTAGGGATGACTATTTTGTGGCATTATAACCCGGTCATATTTTCACAGAATTTTCTTGGGGTTAAACAAGAGGCAAAGGCTACAGTTCCCCCCACCTCTTGAGGAAAAAAAAATCTAAGAAACTAAAATACTGAATTTCAGTCTTGGGGGAAGAGAGGAGGGTTTGTTCAGTCAAATGACTGGGTCGTGGGGGTGGTTGTTCAGACTTTCAAACTAAAACAACCCCCAAAACTTCAACCTGAGGCAAAGAACTAGCATGGTAAATTTTATACCAAATGGTCTGTCATAGTATACCAAATTTGTCATAGTAAAACCACTGAAAACAGAGTTGGGGAAGAAAGGGGAAGTCATAATGGGATGTGGCAGTTAATCTTTGTGTTCCTACCACCCTTCTTCTTATAATACACAAGGAAGCACTTTAAGTAAACTCTCTGCAGTTTACTTGTATATAAAAAAGATACAGTAAGTGTTTACATTGTTTAGAACTTTCTGTAAGGATTTGGTTCTTTATCCAATCCCTTTATTTGTCTCTAAAGGATTGTCTTTCACAAAAATCATTTAAAAAGCTGTGAGTTATTGAAATACAGAAACAACTTGGATTGTGGTAATTTTAAGTTTCATGACACTCAGCTTCCAGAAGCAGGTTTTTAAACCCTGTCAAGTTATTATGGGAGCACAGATTTGAAGGGAGTGTTCAGCAAAATAACTCTTCTGTTGCAATCATTTTAAATTAACAATATGCAAATCAGAATGAACTGAATTCATTTGGAGGCACTAACTTTAATAAAAAAATTAATTAATGTATCAGTGAAATAATGTGAAGAATAATAATAACGAAAAAACCCATGCAAGTTCCTTTAAAAACAAATTAAGCAAACATATTGGGAATTTAGTCAAGAGACTGGAAGCTTTAATAAGCATATTCACTGTGTGACTAATGCTGAATGAAAAGATGAGACCCTCACAGGGATTTCCACAGAAATCAGTTTGTAGCACAGCTATATCCAACACTGTGACTCATTGATTTTTGAGCCTCCACTGTAGGAAATCACTTAGGGTGAAACAATGAGGAAAGTTTCTCTCTTGCCCATAGCTCCTTTGTACAGAGTTCCACAAATATGGCTGTTTCACTCGAGGCTTTGTTGATGCTGCATCTATATCCAGGGTCAAGAACCAAGCTGGAAGTTTATATTCTGTGAAATCCTAGATGGGAAAATAAAAAATCCTCCAAATACTGAAATAGTCTGTTTCTTTCTTTTTATAATCCTTTTATAATCTTTTATAATCTATGCCGGCTAGTTATAGGTCAACACACTTGTAGATGTTTATAAGCAACCTGCCTTCTCTCTTAACATTTGAAATGGTGAAGTTGCATGTTTCCAGCTGCTTTTAGAACATAGTGAATCATTTTCCTTCATGCAATCAAGGACTTCTTGTCTCCAGTCAAGCAAGTACAATAACTTCCTATACTTGGCCAAGCACACCTGCAGCTTCTGCAGAATGCTTCAACCTGCTTCCCTGTGGGTCTGGCTTACTGTGATCACGTTTCCCCCCTGTGCCTGAATCAACAAGTTAACATATAAAATCCAGTATAAAGTGTCTTGAGGAGCTTGAGATAAAAAGTGCTTTCTCAAAGGGATATAGTATGGAACACTGGATACGGACAGAAGTGACAATTTTTACTCATTTTGGCCACAAAAAGCAGTTTATAGCTGTGAACAAACACAAGTGCACTGCTGCAGATGGCTTCAAAAGTGGCCAACTGGGTGAAAATGTGAACTCTTATGGCTAGGGACAGAAGTTACACATAAACAGGTTTAAGTGATCAGAAACTGGTTTAAACCTGTAACAGAACAGAAGTTCAGTGCACATAAACCAGTTTCAAAATGGCTGAAACTGGTTTGAGATAAACCTGCTTGAATGTAGTAATTAGACTTAACTGATTGAGCTCAAACTGGTTTGTGCAACTTCTGTCCCAGACCCCTCCCTGGCTTAAGGTAAACCAGATTCCCCCAGCATTCCAGCATGCTCGCCGGGCTCTCTGCTCCAGCAGAGCAGGGCTGGGCCCACCCTTCTGCTCCCTAGCTGGAGCAGACAGGCAGGGGCGGGGGCCTGGCCAGACGCTGGCCCCCAGAAGGGGGCAGGGAAGAGGCTTATTCTTCTCCCCACTCCCCGCCCCCCCTGCCCTGTCCACTGGCATGGACCTGCATTTCTCTGCTGGCTGTTCCAGTGGTGGGAGGCATGACCAGCCCTGGCAGCAGCCTGGAGTGACCTGGCCAGGGCGGGGGTTTAATTCTCTCCCTGTCCCACTGGCATGGACCTGATTTGGGGTTTGCTGGGTGTAGCCCCCTTACTGACTGCTGCTGGGGCACAGCCAAATGCTGGCTGGCATGGCCCCGGGGGCAGAGACAGGGATTATTCCACCCTGTACCCCTACCAGCTTTGGGGGACCTCAGCTGTGGTCTGCCAGCCCTGACTGCCACCGCTGCCACTTGCTGCTTGAGTGGAACAAGCGGCAGAATAACCCCCTCCTGTCCCCTCTGCCAGATGCCAGAAGAAGGGGGGGAATAACACACCTCCCTGCCCCCTCACCTAAGGGCCCTGCCAGCTGGCCTCTGGTCAGGCCCCTGACCCTGCCCACTGGAGTGGCGAGGGGGCCAGGGCCCTATCAAGTGTCCAGGAAGTGTGAGCCTCTTCCTGGTAGCGGGGCCACAAACAAGTGGTCAGAGCTGCCATGGATTGCATAGGGTGAGTGGCGGCACCAGGACTAGCAGGGAGCCATAGCCCTCCAAGCCGTGCCAGTGCCGTGACTGCCGCTCACCCCATGCAGTCTGCAGTAGCTCTCCCCACCCCACAGCATGGCCCCCCTGCCTACAGCATGCCCCCCCTCACCCCCAGGAAGAGGCTTGCACTCCAGGATACCATGACAGGGGCTGCTGCCCCCATCATGGTCACCTCTCCTTGCTGCTCTGGGGTGTGGGCAGGGCAGGGCCAGAGGCCAGCTGCAGGGGGCAAGGAAAGGGGTTATTCCCTGCTCTGAGGTGAAGTGGGGGGGCTCCAATTTACCCACTCCACCCTCCAGCACTGGCTGGGGAGCCCCTAGAATGAGCTATGATTTTGGATATGTCATGAGAACCTTCTGTTTCATAGTAACCAGAAGGATGATTGAACAAATAAATCAAGGAAAAATGGACATAATGCACTGCTAATGCAATGAACAACAAGAAAGAAAGAAGCGGGGGGGAATAATGTCTTTTCCCTTCCAAGCATGTCACTGTATATAGAGATCTATGCAAAGCCCACATAAGCAGGGAAGAGAGAATAGAATTTACAAAACTCTTTAAGGACCTCATTATATGCTTCTAACTAGAGTAGGATGTCATTCTGGGTGCTATAGAAGTTGCATCTTTGGATGGAGAAACAGAACAGTAAATTTCTTTGTCAAGTTTAAAACTTCCCAAGAACAATGGTTTGCATCTTCAAGACAATGCTAGTGCAAATCAACTGACAGACAACAAAATGGTATTTAAGTGCAACCTGTACAATCCAGCTTAATGATGTGAAGGTGTAGTCTTATCTTTATATTTAATATCCTAACATAGTTTCCCCTTAGGATAATAAACATCATGCCTATGCACAGAGCCAGATATCACAGAAAGTTTACTAAAATTCTACCAAATTTTCAGGTCTCTTTCATTTGGAAAAAAGAAGTGCCAAGCAGTCCAAGCTTGTTTGTTTATGTCTGTCTCAGAATCAGTCTATGAAATGTGTTTCAGTTGAATTTACAAAGGTATGTCCAGCTGTTCAAGTGTGCAGCTGCTTGTTTTCGGGGAGTTACTAGATGAAATGAAATAAAACAGTCAGATCATATGTGAACAGCAATGTAGTTTTTGTATGGTGTTTTTTAAGCCACTGCCAGTGTGATTCCAATGAATCATTCTTTTTCACTTGCAACTTTTTGTTAGCTTATGGCTGGCTGTGATGTGTTACAGTTATGGTTAATTTTAACAGTGGAATGACAGGGTATTCCACAGTCTGATTGTGTTATTAATTTTGTGTTTTCTTGATTATGACAGCTGGAAATTGTGAAAATGAAGGCCAAGAAGCTGTGAGGAAAATAAAAGAAGAAACTTTGAATGAAAAAGGTACTGTACTGTGTGCATTTGTAAAGCACCTACTGATTATATGGCAAGGCAGTTTTCTTCCTGATTTAGAGATGAATCATTTTTCATAGTACTTATGTGCAAACAAAATGAGGGTGTATTGGTCATGCTTCTGGGAGGTGTGATGTTTTGGGAAATGATTTCCTTCTTCATTGTGTCTGAGTGTCTTTCAAGAGAAATCAAAGATATTTTTATGCAAAGGTTTACGTTTATCCTTACTTTGGTCATTGAAATACTGCTGGCTGTAGGTTTTGCTGAGTCCCATGCTGGCTGCAGACGGTCACATGTTCTTTGTTTATATGCATGTGTGTAAGGGTTTATATGTGGGCCAAGGATTCGGGCACTAGTCATTCTGAATTCAGGGAAGGAAGATGACAATTAATTGTGTTTTTCACTGCAGGACTTTAAAATTAATCCTTCCCGGAAAGAAATGGCCAATGGAAAAGGGTGGGAGAAAATAGAGAAGGGATTCTAAACATATGGGGTCCTGTAGAAGACTCCAGTTGGCACAGGACTAGAGCTCAAATACATTAGAAAGGTATTAACCCCCCCCCCCCCACACCAAAAAAAAAAGAAATCTTTCAAGAGAAATAAACAAAACTGCCAGGAGTGAAAAGGAACAGCTTTTTTCTCTAGAACATATGGTTTAGGGTCTGAGACTGGGAGAGTGTTGGTACCTTTGATCTGAAAAACTGTGGTTTTTTTACCACCCTTAGATATGTCTGAAAAAAACATTACTATTATGTCTTGAATGGCTAAATATGGAAGCTTGGAGCTTAATAAATTCATCCTGTGTAAAATGCATAATTTGTATCCATCAGAATCCTTGAAAATGCACCTATAGATGCATTTTTAAAGTCTGGTAGAAGAATGAAGACATTTTAAGAATCTGGTAGCGTTGGCTCATTACACTTCTAGTTTCAGGTTGGGTTTTTTTAGGGTTTTTTGTTGTTGTTGGGTATTATTTATTTATTTATTTTTAACATTGCAATTTTCCAGTTTTTAAACCTTCATGCACTGGGAGCAAAGTTCTTCTGATCATGAAGGTAGGGTAACCATATTTCCAGTTTCAAAAGAGGACACCTGTCGGTCTGGCGGTGGGGTTGGGGGGAATAATATGATTGTGGTGAGGGGCACTGATATGCCCATGCCTTGCCCCTATCCCTCACTCCCAAGCCACAGCCCCCCCAGCCCTGCTGCTGCCCCTCATTCCTGACCCACAATACCCTGCCCACCCCACCCTCCCCTGACCATGCTGGTGCCCCTCACCCACAGCCCTCTGGCACTGCTTGTTCCCTGTGCTCCCAACCCACAGTCACCACCCCCCACCCCTTCTGCTCCTCACTCCTGAGCCACAGCCCCACCAGGCCTTCTGGTGCCCCTCACTCCTGACCCTCATCCCGCCTCTACCCCCAGCACTGGAGCATCTCCAAGCTGCCGCGCCTCTGCAAGTAAGAGTACTAGCTCCAGTGCTGCTGACTGGTCCATGCAGCTCCCTGCTGCCCCCGAAAGGGCCCCTCTGCCACCTTCCCCTGCTGGAGTGGTAGGTGCCTCCTCCACCTCCCCATGCTGCAGCCCTGAAGCCTGGACAGGTTCCCCCAGAACCAGCAAACATCCGCCCCCCTCACACACCCATCCCCTCCACATACCCCCACATACACCTTCCCCAAGCCCTGGCCCTCCAACCTCCCCTCCCCCATAGACTTACCTGCATGCAGCTGCTGGGGATGCTCCTACCACCCTTCCTAGCTGCATGCCAGCCATGTATGTGTGCGAGCAGATACATGTGATGCCCTCTACCTCCAATTGCCCTCCCTCTGCTCCCCCCCACCCCCAAGCAGCAATTTGCTAGGCAAGCCAGGAAGTCCCAGGGAAAACTTTGATGCTGAGCAGAGCAAAATCCCCAACATTTGTTTAAAAAAAACACCTGCACAGAGGTGGGAGGACCCAAAAAGTGGGCATGTCTGAGAAAATCCAGGCGTATGGTAACTGTAATGAAGAAAACGCTAAAGCAGTCAGACAGAAAGTATTGTTCAGGCAAAGGAAGACTGGATTTTTTTACATCTGGAAATAATAGCTAACAGCTTCACCAAGGAGCTTCCAGGATTACTTTTGTGATATGATTTTTGGAGCATCCAAGTGAGTGATCAAGTAGGAAAGCCAGAGAGGATTCTGGCTTTATTTCTGAGAAAAGGAATATTGCAAACTGTTCCTTGTGCAATTTGTGTTCGTGATTTTGTTGTGGAAGTTGTTGCATCCATTACTTTTATGTCCTGAAGCCACTGGGTGGTGTTCCTGGTATTTTCAAAGTGGTTTGTGATGACTGACTGAGAGTACTTCAGTATACAATTTCTTGGAAAAAGTGGCACATGCAGTATGATTGAACTCCACCCTCTTTAGGATCTTTGCAGTTTCTGCTAAAATCTGATTCCATTTAGTGCCTGTTTAATAATCATTGTTGTGCTGTTTGAAATGATTAAAGTAATTTTTAGCACAATGACTAAAATTTGATTTTTATGATTTCTGTTAATATTTACCCATAGATTTGAATTCATATACATTAGTTAAAAGCATCATAAATTAAAATTTAAGACTCATAAAATGGCTAGGGCAATTATCATTTTTTCTAAACCTTTTACTACAATTTTCATTTGTGAGAGAGACCAAAATCACTTTGAATTGTATAGGTAGATTTGTACCAATTTGAATACATATTTATCCCATGTATGTGATTGTAGAAATTCCTGGCATTCTAATCAAAAGTCACTTCATAAATGAAACTCTGATTTTGACTGATAAACCCTTCAACCTACATTTGGTAGAACACTTTGACACAATAAGCTGAGACTGTATCTAAAGATGATATATCTGTCTGACTTTTATACGTAGAAAGTTTGGCCTGTATTTCAGGTCTAATGATTTAAGAGACCTCAGTAATTTTAGATCCTGACTGGTCTGGAATATGGAAAATTATGTATTTAATTCTGAAAATGTGACATTGAGGAGTACTTTTATTTATAGCTACTGTATGTTGTACAAATAGACCTAGAATAGTGATTCCCATTTTTTTTGTATGCTGGGCAAACTTTAAGTCCAAGACCAGCCATTATAATTGAATTTCTTTGGCATTTGTGACATCTAGTGGGGGATTGTGACCTGAAGTAGAACCTTTAGCCCTACTGTAGGATCCATCTTTATAACAATAATCACTCTGTATTCATGAGATTTCCATGTGAATGGTTAGAAGTATGAGGTCTTCATAACCTTCCAAATAGGACCATTGAAACAAAAGCATTGAGGGAGGTAAGGGAGAATAATATTTGCGATGGATAATAAACAGAAAGGGAAAAATTGAGGTGAATGGCAGAGCTTTCACTGATTACAGCTGGGTCAGGATTTCATTGGTAGTAAGTGACGTAAATAGGTTTCTTTTTTGTTTGTTTGCTCTTCTTTATACACACGCGCGCGTGTGTGTGTGTGTGTAAAAACCCTGTTCTGTTCCATCCCCCCACTTAAAAATATCAAAAATATCAAGCCTAGTCTTCCCTAATTTGGCTGAAAGATGTCGGGGTAGCCTGGTGAAAGCTTATTGTAAAAGCCAGGACTACTGTCTGAAAGCTGGGCAGGGGGGAATAGTACCTCTGGATTGATGGCATATTTTAAGACACATTAATCAATATGCTTTGTGCTACTCTGGCAGCAGACACATGCTCAGCATCTGTGTCATTGGAGTGGTCTGTCTGCTGATTTAGGGCGGTCATACTTCCTGGGGTTTACATTCAGATTATACTGCCAAATAAGGGATGGAAATTATTCTTAAAAAAAAATTTTCAATATCCCACAATCAACCACAATCAGTGAGGCTCTACTTTGAGTGCTATAGAAATGCCAATAAAGAAATGCTCCAAGAACTTATTATGTAAGAAGTTAAGGAAAGCCTAGAATCTTCAGCAACTGATCTTTTAGGAACATAAGCTTGTTGGAAAGAAGTCCCCATCTGTGTTGATGGTCAAGACAGCAACTGTCACAACATACTAGAAACTGTACTTGGGTCCAGAGCTAAAAGTACAGTTCTCTCTATGGCTTGGGCTGAGGAGCTAAGACTCTCTGGATGAGGTTGCAGGAGACTCATTGTTTATAGACGAGGTACAAGAGAGGGCTATGTGACACAGTCATTAGTGGGCTTCATTGGTAATTGATTTTTTCAAACTTTTGGATGAATGTAGAATAGATTACATGATACCTGTGGAGTTACTCCATAGTTTGAGAGTAGAATTTGACCCAGCCACTTTGCTATTTGTCACATGTGAACCTGGCCTACTGTTTCTTTGCTATTACTTTGAAATAGTCATATAAGTATTATGAGCTGGAGAAGGCTGTATGTCAACAGTCAAAAACTGCAATTTAAGGCATTTATCTACTGCATGATGATAGTATTGGTTATCTTGGCAATCTTCTGCATACTTAACTTTCAAGCATTCTAGGAATGGGACTAGGAACTGGGACTAGGAAACTGGGAGCTTCTTAATGTTTGACATGAATGCTATTTATTTACTCACCTGAATGTCACATCCCAAAAGAGAAGGAAAATGTTTTTTCTTATTAGTAGGAAATCTTGAGGGATATCCCTTTGAGCCAGTGGAGGAGGCTGTGGGGCGGGGTAGAAGGGAAGTATGTGGAATAGGTGACTGATATTTATCAGAGTACTTCACAGTTATGGGATTACCCATCATTAAAATTGGAAATGCCTACTCCTGATAAAATTACCTTTCTATTAATATACGGACAATTTTGTAAGTGTAAGGAAGGGGTGAAGAATGTTCTCCCCTCCCTTGCATTCCTTGTATACAGCCAATAGGGATCTCTACACTTAGCAGAGCACATGTTCTACCACTTGACAGCGTTAGCCATCCCATAGAATTGTAGGAGGAGCCAGGTTAGATGCTTGCATGCAGCTCTCACCATCTGAAGGATGGATGAAG